TTGCGTTGGACAACATATGGCGACTACTGCTTTGTTGGGCAAGCACAAACAAAATAATAAACACCATGTTGTGACCCAGTGAAACCAAGTTGGCCAAACTCTGTGTATAGATGGCTTTGGTCGCGAGGGGTTCCGACATGCATGCTCGCCGCACGTTAAGGGCGCTCGGAATGTGGGCTTTTACTGCATTTCCCTAAAAGAAAAAAAAATCACTAACGACTGACTTCTCAATCCCGTCCGATAAACATGACTTCATTGTTGTGATTGTTTTGATGTTGTTGTTGTTGTTGCAGTTTTTGCCAAACCTAAATATAAAGCAGGTTTGTACACGTAATGAAAACTTATTAAAATAAAGTAAATTCGTTACATCACCATGAAGAAAGTTACTCCATCATTGGGGGGGGGGGGGGAGGTGGAATACGAATGATATTTCTGTGATTGACATAAATTGCTCGTTCCAACCATTTTTAAAGACTGTAACAAAATTAACTATCCTACGGGGCCTATGACTGATTTCACCATAGGTTCATCAATATTTCATCAATATTTCACCCTTCTCTTCTACCATTCACTTTTTGGAATAATTAAAAAAAAGTTAAACTGAAATATGAACAAGTATGAAGACAAACATTACTGAAACTCATAATTATTAGTAATATGGTTAAATCATTATCATCATCACTGTTTTTCCGCAGGTGCTGGCTTGTCAATGGCCTACATGCCCACAATCCTTGCATTGAATGATTTCTTTCGGGAAAATTTCGTTTTGGTGAACACAATCACGTTATATGGCCACACCGCCGGATCCATGCTGCTCCCTATTGTAACGGAAAGGTCTTTTGAAGCATATGGCTATGCAGGGGCGTTTATTATCCTTGGCGGTATCGCTCTGAACCTTGTCGTGTGCGGTACAACGATACGCAAGTCATTAAGAAACGCCGCTACAAATGAAGGCGAAATTCATGATGAGGTGAAGGAGAAACGAAATTGCCAATCTGAAAAGAAATTCTTAGAGAAAATTGAAGAAAGGATTCATAAACCTGAGGAGGAGGATAGTGGAGAGTGCATTTCGGAGCAAAGAGGTTTAATTCAAACCGAGAGCCGTTGCAAAAGTAAGCATGAGACATCAACAAATGCACGCTCATCGTGGACCACACCCTTCTTTCAGACCTGTAAAGGGTCTTGCGGACTACTAAACGAACGTCTAATTATCTTCGCCTTGCCTATTACTTTCTTGCAATATTACACCGTTTATGCATGGATGCTTTTTCTGGTCCCCCACGCTGAACAGCTTGGCATCCCTCCTTCCAAAGCAATCTTCCTCTCCACAATCGGCGGAATAGGTGGCATCGTCGGTCGAACTGTTTTCATCATCCTCGTCCGCAAAGGGACCAACGTCTATGTTATCTACATCGCCGTATGTCTCATATGCACGATATCCTTTCTGTTAGACTTCGTCAGTTCTGCCTACGAGGTGCTAGCTATCTTGGCCTTTGTACAAGGGTTCTCCTTTTTCATCGAGGATGCTATTCCGTGCAGTTTCTTCAAGGATGCAGTCTATGACGATAAAAATGCTGACATGGCCATTGCTCTAAATTTTTTCATGGGAGGACTAGGGGCGACATGTGCAGGAGCATTCACAGGTGCGTAAATTGTAGTCCACTTGTGAAGTTTTTGAAAATCAACTCAAGGACAATACATAATTAGAAAGGATATGGGCACGTGTCCAAATAAAAGGGGCACTTATAAGAAATGAAAACGGGAGCCCATTAAAAAGTTAAAGGGGGCATCTCTCATATTTTCTTAAGGGCACTCACCGGAGATGAAAAGAGGCAATTAAAACTGAAAGAAAACCAACGAATCTCAGATTTGAATATAGGCAATTATATTAGGTAAAGGGGAACTTATCAGAGGTGGTAAGAGGCATTTCTTTACCTGAAAAGGAGTAATTAACCTGAGATCGGAATGGTGCACCTATTTCAAAGGAAAATGGGCTCTTATTGAAAAAAGAAAAGAGGCATTTATCAGAATGAAAAGAGGCGTTTAAAAATAGAGGGCACTTATGAGAGGTGACAAGGGTCAATCATAAAATATGAAAAGGGGCACCAATCAGAAGAGGAAAGGGCACTTATAACAAAAGAAAAGGGCACTTGTGAAAGTTAAATAGACGCCTCTCAAATTTGTATAGGGGCAATTATCATCGGTGAAGGGGCATGTATTAGAGGTGGTGAGAGGCACTTAAAAGACTGTGAAACGGGCACCTATTGGAAAAAATAAAGTTGGAATTAATCTTAAGTATGAGTGGGCACCTTTCTCAATTGACAAAGTGTTAGAAGCGGCCTTGACCCCCGCCCCCGGCTCCGCCAGCTGTGTCCCATGACTAACACCATTAAGTAGTGTACTGGAATGGCGTATTAGCAGCTCACTAGAAATGCTGATGACAGAAAATAGGGGCATTTACACTGTGTTCCAAACACGGCAAAAAATGCCAAACCGGAGCCTGACCGCGATGTTACCAAGGGCAACTACGCTTTACCGCCAAAAATGCCAAGCCCGAAACATTCCAAAACGAAGTGTGATCTTTTGGCGTGTTTTGGCGTGTTTTGGCGTGTTTGGCAAGTATGAACGCTCGCAGTTGTAACATCGCGATGTTAGGTCACGTGACTTTGGGAGCGGAGCTAGATGTCGTCCTTGAAGAAAATAATAGAACGATGTAAACAAAGAAAAACATAAGAGAAGGTGATAGAAGGAAGAAACAAAGAATAACATAAGGAAAGACAGAAAGAGAAAGTGATAGAAAGAAGAAACAAAGAATAACATAAGAGAAGGTGATAGAAGGAAGAAACAAAGAATAACATAAGGAAACATAGAAAGAGAAAGTGATAGAATGATAACAAACAAAGAATAACATAAGAGAAGGTGATACAGAAGGAAGAAACAAAGAATAACATAAGGAAACACAGAAAGAGAAAGTGATAGAAGGACGAATCAAAGAATAACATAAGGAAAGACAAAAAGAGAAAGTGATAGAATGATTAAAAAGCAATGAATAACATAAAGAAATACAGAAAGAGGAAAGTTTTTGCATCGGAGTGCCGCGCATGCGCATTACCAACTTTAACAGGCCAAAACATCACTGAGTGTTTCAGTCGGTGATGTTTCCGCACAAGTGTAAACGGGTGCGAGAAACATCGCGATTTTTCAAAATGAGGTATTTGACAGTATAACTGCGCCTAATAATGGAGAAACCAGTGTCTCAAGGTTAATTTCATGGTCACCCAGGCGCATTTATACTGTCAAATACCTCATTTTGAAAAATCGCGATGTTTCGCGCACCCGTTTACACTTGTGTGGAAACATCACCGACTGAAAAGCTCAGTGATGTTTTGGCGTGTTTTAGTAGGTAATGCGCATGCGCGGCACTTCGATGCAAAAATTTCCTCTCTCTGACTTTCCTTATGTTATTCTTTGTTTCTTCCTTTTGTATCACCTTCTCTTATGTTATTCTTTGTTTTTTATCATTCTATCACTTCCTCTTTCTGTGTTTCCTTATGTTAGTCTTTGTTTCTTCTTTTTGTATCATCTTCTCTAATGTTATTCTTTGTTTTTTATCATTTTTTTATCACTTCCTACGCTTTGTCGTTTAGCATTAAAACTCCCTGACTGATAATTATTATTCTGTTATCATGATCATTTTGTAGGTTATCTGTATGATATCACCCAGTCGTTCACGAAGGTGTTCATCATCGGCGGCGTCATCAAAGCCCTCATGACCGTCCATCTCTTCATCGTAGCGATCCTCATCAAGAGACGACGGATAAGAAATAAGCTTCCAGTCTGAACACAAGTGATTTAGGAGGGGGTAAAACCTACCCACCTCCTCTGTTTTGGAAACGTAAGATGCATACGTTTTGGACACAAGTATAAACATTAATCCTCCTTCTTTTAGCTATTGGTTTTATTGCATTTGTTCATTAATTTTTATACTAATTCCTCTAGTACCTAGACAAATTGTTTTATTTTATTACTCGTGTTTTTTTGACCATGCTTGCATATCTTAAAATTGTATGAATTGTGTCTGCGCTAATCTTATGCAAATTTCTACATCCGCCCCTGCTATAAAAGTCTGTTATTATTTCATTTTTGTTGTTGTTGGATGTCTTTACTCTGTGATCTTTCGAGAACTCTGTTTTGTAAATATTACAAACCGGTACTCCTAATCACAAGCTTCATTATTTGTATGATATCAGGAATCATGCCTCCACAATTTGTATGTAAATGTTTTTTCTTCTAATTTGTGATAGAGAATACGGAAATGGGGGGAGGGGATTTATATATTACAGTAAGTTTTCGATCAATCTTAAGGGTTTAAATTCGGGGATGAAATTAATCTTGCTTTTTGATACAAGCATTTTTATGTATAAATATTATCATAATCAACTAAAGTTTTTAAGAGAATGTTCTGGGAAGAGGTGCAAAATAACTTGTGAGCGTAATCATTGTCATTATGCAAGTGTGGAAGAACATCATGTAAAACATGTTCCATACAAAATATGGGTTTTCGAATGGCTTAATATTCGGAAAAAATTGGAATTGTTTTTAAAAGTAATACAATCTAATTTTGATGTAAGTGATGTACACAAATATCGGAGCTACAGAAACGCATTAACGACTGTTCTTCGCAATACCAATATAAATAATTGCAGTGGTATGTTAGCTGAGAACAACAATAACACAAGTAAAACGTGGAACATCATAAATAAATTACTATCTTGGAGAAATAATGGTAACGAAGGTTCTAAGGTAGAAAAAAATGATAAGGCGTATTAATGGAAATGATGAGGTTCTGACAACTGATTCTGAAATTGCCAATGTATTTAATGATTTTCTTTGTAAACATCGGTCCAAATCTAGCATCAGCAATACCAAATGTACTCACATTTTTGGAAGATTATCAGAATAATAGTGTAGATCAATCCCTTTTTTGGAAACCGGTCACAATGAAGGAAGTTAATGACTACACGTTGGCTCTAGATGAGAAGAAAGTTTGTGGTTACGAGAACATTCCAGTTCGCCTGATTAAGGATGGTGCATCTATTTTGGCTGAACCATTAACACATATCTTCGATCTTTCATAGGAAGCAAGAAATTTCCCTGATCCAATGAAAATTGCTAAAGTCACTCCACTGTTTAAGAAAGTTAATAAACATGAAACAGTGAATTGTAGACCCATTTCTGTCTTACAAATTTTGGGTAAAGTATTAAAACAAATGTTAATGTTCGATTGACCAGTTTCCTAGAAACGCATAGCATTTTATATCACCATCAGTACATTTTTAGAAAAAAGAATAGTACTAAATTATCAGTAATTAATCTTATGAATACGGTTTTGAAAAGTATAGACAAATGATGTGTTACGCTTGGTGTGTTTCTTGACTTTCAAGAGACCTTTGACACAATAAACCATAACATATTATTTAAAAAGCTATCCTATTATAGCATCCGAGGACATGCACTAAAATGGCTCGAAAGCTATCTTAGTGACAGAATGCAGTTTGTGAAATATATGGAGTCATCATCATAAAGTAGATATATCAAATGTGGTGTACCACAAGGTTCTGTCTTAGGACCAACTCTGTTTTTTTATTTCTATAAATGACCTGCCAACTGTGACAAATTATTTCAATATCAGACTATTTGCAAATGATTCTAATATTTGTCATAATTTTCCCAAAGGTGTATATCAAATAGATGAGTGTGAAGTAATCGAAAATTTAAAATCAATACAGAAATGGTGCACTGCAAATAAGCTTATTATCAATGCGTCTAAAAACAATTTCATGTTCATTAGTAGTTGTATTAGAAAGACCGTGCTTAGAGGGAGATTAAAAATATCTGAGGCATAATTAAAAGAAGTGGAGGAAGCGACATTTGTTGGTATTACCATTAACATACATTTAACTTGGAATTCACTTACAAAATCTGTTAATGACTGTATACGGAGAAAGGTCGGTATCCTCCTTAAATTACGGCACTTTGCCCCTAAACATAATGATTTTTTATAAAGTTCTGATACAGCCACATATTACATATGGCATCGAGGTTTGGGGTTGTACTTATAAATCACACTTGAATTGTATATTTTATACTCAAAAGATGGATGTACGTGCTATAACTTTCAAGCCACATCGTTCTTATACTAATACACTGTTTCATGACCTCAAATTGTTGAATGTTTTTAAATTGCATAAATTATCTATTTGTACTTTTGTGTTTGATTTGATAAATGAATGATTACCTCATTCCTTAAAACATTATTGCAGTATGATACAACATGAATATTCCACAAGACAAAAAAAAAAAACAGGTCGATAATTACGTCTTCCTTTATTCAAAACAGACCAAGGACAATTTTCTGTTTCGTTTTGACAATTACGTCTTCCTTTATTCAAAACAGACCAAGGAAAGTTTTCTGTTTCGTTTGTTGGAAGTAATTTTTGGAATATGCTTCCTACTGATCTAAGAATTTATAGATCAAGAACCTCTTTTCGTAAACAAAATACAAAATTAATCTTAGGCAAAAACCAAGAATTATGACCTTGTAATTGGTAGTTGTATATAGCAACCAGTCTCGTTTTTTAATTGTTATATTATACACAAATCTTGTTTATAGGATTTGGAAACCCTTCGTGTATTTTGTCAATAAACTTTATTTTAGACTTTAGAGTGTCAGACTCGACTAGCACATGTGCTATTTTTTACTTTTTTTTACCATTGATCACAAACTCATTGTAAATAGTCATTGTTTTAATCTTGACACTAACATTACTTATAAATAATTGTTTATATTTGTCATAATGTACATGTATATCGCTGTAGAACATGTATCATTATAATTCATGTCATTTATTTATGTTTTATTGACATTATCATTATCATTGTACATTTGTATATATCTTTTGTTTCAATGTTTTCAATGGTGGTGAATAAATAAATTCAATTCAATTCACTTCAATGTAAATATGGCATATAACATCATAAAAATCAGGACAGATTTTTGTTCCACATTTTCGTGTAGTCCCCTATACATATCTCTATGTACAGTGCTTGTAACTTTACCAAGACTGGGCCAAATTCTTTATCATTTTGATGATTCCAGAACCTTGCAGTACACACCAATACTTATATGCTACATGATAAAAAAAAAATTCTGATCGATTCCACAACGTAACATCTTTAAAGTTGTTGCATAATCTACTCGTATTGCCTCATTTTGATTATTGTTCCTCTGTGTGGTCACATCGGTATCAGGATCAAACGGATAAACTGAAGAAAGTTCAAAAACGAGGTGCTAGAATAATTTCAAACAAAAGTTACGAGACTCCATCCAGTGAATTGATTAGCAATCTGAAATGGATGTCAATTGAAAAACGTTTTGAATTTCATCGTTTTTGTATGATGTACAAATGCACACATTAATTGGCGCCATCCTTTTTACAAGAAAGTTTAATTAAAATAAGTGACATTCATCAGCATAATGCGATGCAGGCAGTTGAAGGTGTACTTTTTGTTCCAAAGTATAAAACAGAATGCTTTAAAAAATAGCCCCCTCGTTTCTTCAATTATGCCATGGAATCAGTTGGACAGACCATTGGCAATGGCAAGCTCTGTGAACACCTTTAAATACATGTTTAAACAATCTTGCATTATCGATTCCCAATGAGGTAGAATGACAAGAGGAATTTTGTTTTTATAGTCTATGTTTTCTTAGCACTGAATGTAGGACGATATAACGCTTTTCAAACTTAAAGAATGATTTCATATACATTTGTATCTTTAATGCTATTCAAGAGTGTACATTTAATTGCTATACTTGATTACATGCATTAATTTGTCATATTATCTAGCAATTTACTATCCTGTAATATATTTTGCTGTTGTTAACATGTATATAACAATTGAACTCTCAAAGTATATGTAACCTTTTTTCAAAGTCTAATACTTACCGAAATATGTTTATAGTTACTTTTCATCGGATTTAAAAGCTAATTACTGTCTATGCTTTAATGTTAAATTAAAATATTATAATTATGCAACAACGTTTTCTTGAACGAAAAGCAAAGCAAAACAAAACAAACAAACCATTATTTTATTATGAGGATACCAAATACTTTGTATATATGTTTACTCATGTTCTTACTTATTATTATATATTGATGTTATTAATTTATGTTCAAGGTTTTGTTATTAATATTATTATCATACATATATTTCTTAAACTATAATGTACTTCATTATGCATAACAGGGCCTCATGGAAGACCACCATTATTGGTAATAGTGAGTCACCCTGTCTAAATATCAGAAATAAATAAATAAATAAATGGTTCTTTCACAATGCAATCGCATGACCAGAACTCAACTTTATCTTAAACTCAAACGTTCGCACACATACCACCAGTCGTTCAATAGATTATTACTTACAAAATCCTGCAATTATTTTGGCCCACAAGTCAGTAAGACATCATGGACAAATTATTTGGAACTCCTTAAAAAACTCAAAAAGGCAATGTTCATTAATATTTTCCTGTAATGCATCTCTTTAAAAAAAAAATGATATTGAAATATCAACATCATTGACTTCAACATTCAATAGGCGTTTGTTGATATCTCAAATTTCGATCACAGTGCAATTAAATTTTGCTATTCGTACTGTTTGTTCCTTTATTGAAAAGGGATATTCGCTAATCACACTTACCCACACACACACAAACACACGCACACCCACACACACCCGCGCGCGCACACACACACACACACACACTCACGCACACAAACAAAACACAACTCATACACAAAATGGTATGAACACATTTTCATTTAGATTTAAATATAAGATTTTTCTTTTGAGGCCGCCATCCTATTCAAGCGCCGCTTACAATGGCGGTCTCCTGCACTTTTCCACAGATAGTGAGAAAAGTCGTTTAAATCAAATGCACTAAATTATAGAAATATTAAGTTCGTTGTTAAAATTATAATAATATATTACTTTTGTTTCTTTTATAGCGCATTTCATGTCTGTTTACAAGATTCGGTCATGTATATAAAGTATGCTAAGATCATGAAAGGAAGATGAATCAGAAACATATATATAAAACATTGAAGAACTTACAAAGAGATAATTTACAATATTACTTATTTTTTAATACTATTGATGTGCTAATTTGAAAAGATTAATTGTGAATTTAGATATTAATGTTTCAATATTAGATATACAACGTAAAGGGTTATTATATGTTTTTTATGTTGACATGCAGTTACTATTTGTATATTTGTAATATTCCTTACGTTTAAATGTTCTTTCTAATTCAGTTATTGTATTTGGCAAAATACAGAAATAGAATCAAATCAATTTCAAAAGTCTTTAATTTTTGAGTGTGAACGAATCAATCGTAATAGTAGCTTTTGCAATGTCCAGTTAAAGAAAAGGGACTGTTTGTTTACCTTGTAGTGACCAAACTCGTTTTTACCTTTTCAAAACTTGGTTTTTCATTTAAAAACACCGTACAGCATATTGGGTGTGTCTAATTTAAAAAATACGTGTCAGACTCGAAGCATCGTTACTTTAATGGTCACGTGGGTCTGTGTACTTACGTTAAGGATAAAGTAGTCCCTTGATTATTTATCTATAAATTGTTTGTAGGTAAAGTTAATGTACCGTAATGAAATTATGATATTTTCTCATGTATGTTTTATTGTTCTATCCTAAAATTGGTTATTATACTTAGTTCAGAAGGATGTGCATTCATGCTCGAAAAGTAGTCCTTACGAACGTGCGCTATGTCAGGCAAGGCCCTGATGGGCATTTTATATTATGGACATTCGTTCACTTGCTTTAAGCGAAGCTGGTTGTTTTACTTTTCGCCAACCGACACGCTTAAGCCGTCAATGTATTAGCCTGTTTGTGTTGCACCATTTATACAGATATGTAGAGATAATTGAATATATTTGATGCTATTGAGTTTTACTTTGCTACCAGTGTTGATGAAGCCGCAATATACGAGTCGGTTCATTAATTGTATATTATGT